TCTGTTTTTCCCAGTAGGGGACTAATCCAAACGAAAGCCTCTGTTGTGTGGGTTTTTTCCCTCCAAGCAACTTATTCCTGGATACAAAGTTCTAGCAACATAGATCTTTTGACATGGAACAGAAGTGAAAAGATTTTGATAGAATTAAATTCTCTCATACAACCCTGGGCAACCTTCAGTGAGTTGTTTTTAGTCTCTGCATGTAGGCATTTTTAAAACCACGATGGCAAACCTTTTGGGCTTGGCATGCCAAAAATTCAGAAAATGTCTAACTTGAACTTTGCTGATGTGTTACTCACACACCTCTGAACAAAAGAGGAACAATTCTCTATCTCCCACCCACCCCAGTCTAGGCTGCCCCTGAACAGTGGTACTTGATGGTAGCGCCTAGGCTTGGTATGAAACAGAGACTATCCCTCTACTCAAAAGCCCCTCAAATTAGCTACCACTTCACTTCATCATCAGCCCTGACTTTTGCCCATCTCTCACATCATATCAGATTGATCCTGATTCTGAGATGCAGCTACCCATGTGCACTGCCACAGGTCATGCTCTATGACAGGGGTCCCCAACCCCTGGGCCGTGGACCAGTACTGAGCCTTGGCTTGCCAGCAGCCAGTCTACACAAACAAGCAAAGCCGCATCCATGGGATGCAGGCAGCACACGAAACCACGCACTCTCCGCTTTGCGGAAAAACCTCTCTCCACGGAACCGGTCCCTGGTACCCAAAAGGTTGGGGACTTCTGCTCTGTGGAGGCTCCTGCAGAATAGGTGCAACTATCATTTGCAGATGCTAACATTCATAGGATATATCTTCAAATGTAGATAGCTTTTAAATAAATCCTTATTTTTCCATCTCCATACACACACACACACATACACACACACACACACACACACACGTACTGTGTTGTTCTGCGTTGTATGCCACCACCATTCACCTTCACCAAGCCCAAACCCATCCCTCAGACGAAATGCAACCACCATCCAGAAGCCAAACCACGACGACATCACCAGCCGCTGCACCTCCCTCCGACCCCCACACAAAGCAAACGGACACACACCATGAACACAGAGCTAGACCGCAAACTCGGAGCCAAACCAAAGCCCGGTATGCTACATCACAGCCTTCTGCTCTGGACATCACACTACAGAACTCAGGAGGTTACAACGTTAAAGCTCAGGATGTTACAACACAGCCAACCACCCAGGATGTTGCAACACAAAACTCAGGATATCACTACACTAGATCTCAGGATGTAATCACAAAACCCATTACCCAGGTCGTTATAACACAAAAGACTAATGGGCACACAGCCAGCACCTCAACTACTCAGGATGTTACAAAACAGCCAAACAATCCACAAACAATAACTCCCACACAGCCAACCAACCCACCTACAGCAACTAAGCCAGCACTCCACACCCCCCCCCCCAATATTTATAGAGAGACGGCAGCTCCAATCACACTTTGCTCGCACAAGCACGAAGCCGAAGACCCCAGCCTGAAGATGATGAGTGGGACCTCATCGAAACGTCGCCAAGATACTCTCAATCTTACACGGGAAAAGACCCGAATACGCCAAGACCTGCATACCTGTACCCGTGAAAATCTACGAAAACATATACACACACAGACACACACACACACAAATACATACATACCAATGGTGGGATTCAAATATGTGAACAACCGGTTCACATATATACACACACACATACAGTATATATACACATACATACACATACACACACACACATATATTCCATTAATTACTTGAGTATGAAAAAGGTGTTGTTGGAAAAAATACTCTAAAGCAATGTTTCTCAACCTCAGCGACTCTCAGACATGTGGACTTCAACTCCCAGAATTCTCTAGCTAGCATGGTTAGCTGGGGGACTCTGGAGTTGGAAGTCCACACATTTGAAAGCTATTGAGGTTGAGAAACAGTGCTCTGAAGAAAATTTTGGATGGCTGCAGCCACTTTTACCTTGGATTCAGCCTAGAATGTCCAACATGACTACCAAAATGTACAAAATGAAGCTGAAATGGGCATAATACCATAATCATGTTTTGCATCTCAAGTGTAGCTAGGAGAACTTTTCCATTGTCATTCTTTTGCCCGGAAAGGTTTGCAAAATAGTCCTGGAAAGCAGGAGAATATGGGTTCAGTTATCTGCCACCAATATTCTGTCACTTGCCTAAGGAATATGGCTTTAGAAATCTGCCCAAACTTGATCTCCTTTTGTCTGAACATAGTCTGAAAGAGCACTAAATCTGTGCTTCCAAGTACTGTACACCTGCAAAAGCCTGCTGATCATGGCCTTTGCGCTTCATGTGAAAGTCGTTGGATGATTGTGGCCTGATGACTGTCTCTTAGCTCCCACAGGTTAAGGGAGTGGCATCAAGCTGATTTCTGGATAAGGTACCTTGAGTTGTCGCAAAAAGGATGGGATGCAAATCTAATAAAAATCAAATACTAGTAGGAAAGAGTTGTCTATGTGGTCATCATTCAGTGCTCAAGTAGATTGTCATCAGACAGAGTAGAGCCAATCTGGAGGAACAACACAACCCTGCCAGATCCTTTAGATAGGTTTTGGCTGCAATATTCAGCCTGGAAGATCCAAGAATTTACATATTAACCAATCAGGCCCAGTGGTGACCCAATCTCTTCCTCAGTTTCAATTCCTGCCGTGTCTGCAGAGGGGATGAGGCAAATGAAAATAGGTCACCTGTATTTACCCTTGCGTCAAATGCCATGGGTGTTTGTGATAGACACTGCTGTACTAGGATGACAGGAATTGCAGTGTAACAAGTTCCAAAGCCATCAAATATGGAATGCTGAGCTTAGGACTTTTACACAGCTTTAAGATGCAGTTCAGGCTGGTATTTCAGAGGAGTTGCCTTTTAACTGTCCCAAAGCCATCAAATATGGAATGCGGAACCTAGTTTTTCAGATATTTACACCCTCATAAAACATTATCAATACATGTTTTATTTAAGTTGCATCCAACTCTGGTGAAATGCAAGAGTCCTGAGGAAGAACGCTGTCAGTTCTGAAAGTGAGTAAAAGACTTCCTGGGCACTGTGCAGTTGCATAATTACTTTGTAGCTCCTGAGCAAATACATTTGGTGTGATATGCATGTGTCATCCACAGTATTAATTGTCATCTTAACTTTTACACAGTGGCTAGAAAAATCCAGGAAACAATCCAATCAACTGAGCTAATAAAGAAGGGACAGAATTAGGAGGAGACAAAGTAGAGCAATTATTCCAAATGGGATGAAAGTTTAATGGCCTAGTCCAAGGGTAGGCAACCTTGGCTCTTTTATGACTTGTGGACTTCAGCTCCCAGAATTCCTGAGTCAGCATGGCTAGTTCAGGAATTCTGGGTATTGAAGTCCACAAGTCATAAAAGAGCCAAGGTTGCCTATCCCTGGCCTAGTCCAAGGGATACAAAGACATGGGAACCTTGTAATGTTTGTTCACCGGATGAATTTTGACTGGATAGGTAGATATCGTGGCTAGTATAATACGACTTGGATGGTGAACACTGCTAGTTGTGATTTATTTAGTGGCCCATGATGAAATAACTGTTATTTAGCTCAGTGAAAAAACCCAGCCTGTAAATATAGTTTGTGCAGTCTCATGTACAAACCATACCTTATAAATAATTCCCGTTTACTGATTGCCTCATTCAGTGACCATTCAAAGTTACAACAGTGCTAAAAAAGTCCTTGAACTTGTGGCCATCACAACATCCATACGATCGTGCTGTTAACAAGTAAAGTCAATGGGGAAGCCAGCAGGAAGTTGCAATTCATAGTCACATATCCTCGCTTAAGAACATATGGCAATTTGATTAACGACTGCATAGAAATGACACTGTAAATCTGGCACAGTCATGTGGCATTTCACCTAATGACTATGTCGCTTAGCAATAGATTTGCCAGTCCCAATTGTGGATGTTAGGTAAGGTCTACCTATAAACAGTTAGAAATTGTCTGGAGTATTATTTTCTGAGTGTCTTGTTTACTTTATTCACACAAGCCAAAGTGGGTGGCATTGAGCCAGTCCTGCTCTCCCATCCCTAGTTAGGCAGTGGCAAACTACTTCCAAAAATCTTGCCAAGAAAACTGCAGGGTCTTGTCTGTGCAGACACTAAGAAAATAATTGTCTCGAAAGTGTAAAAGCAGATTCAGTCTGATTCAGGACTGTTTACAAGGAATCAAATGGTATTGCTGTCTGCTTGTAATCCTTCTCCCATCTTCACCCACTGTGACCTCCATCACTTTACTTCCCAATAAAAAAATATGTAAAAGTGGGAAATACAGATTTCTCCCCAAGGACTTGCACTGATGGGCCTCAGCATCCTTCTACTGGAAATGTTGATAATTCAGAGACAATTATCACCTCATAAAGTAGAATCTCCCGAGGATGGGAATACTAGGCTGACTTTCAAGCTAAGTGCAGAAAAAGGACTGGCTCACTGATATTTGGACGAAATTTCAAAGCTGTTGGCTTGGCTCAAAAGTCACAGCCTTACTCCAGAAGATAATGGCAAACCATTCCTCTAATACTGCAAGAAAACTACATGGGCCTGTTCACAGAGCCACTAGGGGTAAGTTTATTACCCCTAAACCCACACCTTAAATTCTGAATAAATGAGTGATTTTCAGTGGAGATTCCATATTGGCTCTTATGGGGAACAAATGGTGATATGGTGATATGGGTGTAGAAATAAAAGATCTGAGATTAGGAAAATATGAGTTCCCAATGGGTCCCCCCCTTCCCCCTTCAATGAAGCATTTTTTTTAAAAAAAAAGTAGAAATCAATCATTTGGTAAACTACCGCATCTGAATTGCCTGAGTGATGCACCTTCCGTACCAGCAGAGGTCAGAGCGCTTCCCTCCCATCGGAGCATGAAGAGAACTCGCTTTCCGGTTTCAGTGCTTGCGAAATAAATCACGTTTTCTCCGTCAGGAGATCTGGTGGAGAAAGGAGGCGGGTTCAAAGGTATCTCTGATGCAGGGGGAGAGGACGAGAGGCCAGTAAATAACTCCCGAGACTTTGGTGGGCCTTTCACTCTGGACTCTTGCGACTCTTGCTTCCTGGAGCTGGAAAGTGAACTTCGAAGAGCTATAGATCTCTCCCTGAGCTTGTGAGCTGCTTTCTTCCTGATTTTAGCCGAGTTGATCCGAGAAATGCAGGCTTTGGCGCTCTGGCTGACCGTAGGCGCTCTCCAGCTGTTGACAGCTGTCCACGGGGGACCCCAGCAGCAACGCTTTGTCGCGCCGGACGTTACCTGGTCCCTGAGCAAGGTACGTGACAGCAATGGTAAATGGCTTCGCTTCTGCTACTGGCATGAAGGGTGGAAGAAGGCGAGGAATATATTGTGGCTGATCCCTTGAATGCGAAGGTAAAGGGGGCTCCCTGGGGAAATGCATTTTTATTATTTTGACAGAGGTAACGATGAGTGGCGATTGATCTGCACGCATGCATGAAGCTATATTGCAGTAACGTGCTACTGGAGCCTTCCTTCAACTTAATCCCCTTTCTAGAAGTGATGGGAATTGTAGGTATTCCCCTCCCCCTCTTAAAAAATGTTAATTATAATGCACAAAATCTCTTCTTGTATGTTGCTGTTTTTTGTATTTCATATTTTATCGTAGCTCTCGCCTTCCTATTTGTGTGAAAACTTAAGTCAGGAATGCTTTAACTGTTTTTGAGCTGGGAGTGTGACAGAATGGCCTATGTGACTTCTTATAATTC